ATAAGCATAAAGCCACCACCATGCCGCTCTAAGGAAACAGGAGGTGGCATTTCACGGCAGGAGACCTCCACGTGCCCTCCTGCGAGGCTGCTGCCAACAAGCCGTGCCTCGTCCTGCTGTTTTCAAATGCACCTCTGGGCTCCCCGGGTTGCAGACAGATAAGGTGGCCGTCTGCCAGAGCAGTGCTGGGGGAGGTGGAGATGTCATTAAGGAGGAACTCGCTGCGGTTGGCGGGGTGCAGACTGGAGACTGGGCGGGGAGTCCTGGCGTGAGTCTGCAGAGGCGGGGGGGGACCACATCTTGGAGAGGCTCTGCTTGATGCTCCGCGAGCGAGTGATTGAGCAGAGTCTGATCTGCCCACACGCCCGTGTCAGGCAGCTGGGCTGCGGTCGCTAGCTGCCATCACCAGGTCTTGGATCCCATCGTTCTGCGGAGCTGGGGACAGAGGACAAGTATGTCCTGGAAAGCAAAGTCCTGGGTGACCCAGTTTCACGTGCTGTTGTGGAACAGCTCTGCCGTCGCGTCTCGCAAAGCTACCATCTCAGTGTCACTCTTTGGGTTGTGTAGGTGCCTTTTGACCATGAGCCAGCAGCGTGCCCTGGGTGCCAAGAAGGCCAAGGGGATCCTGGGGTGCATGAGGAGGAGTGTGGGCAGCAGGGAGAGGGAGGTTCTCCTGCCCCTCTCCTCTGCCCTAGTGAGGCCTCATCTGGAGTACTGTGTCCAGTTCTGGGCTCCCCAGTTCAAGAAAGATGAGGAGCTAGATCAGCCTGGAGAAGAGAAGGCTGAGAGGGGACCTTATCAATGCCTCTAAATATCTGCAGGGTGGGGGTCAGGAGGACGGGGCCAGACTCTTCCCAGTGGTGCCCAGTGCCAGGACAAGGGGCAACGGGCACAAACTGAAGCAGAGGAAGCTCCAGCTGAAGATGAGGAAGAACTTCTTCCCTCTGAGGGTGACGGAGCCCTGGCCCAGGCTGCCCAGGGAGGCTGTGGAGTCTCCTTCTCTGGAGATATTCCAGCCCCGCCTGGCCGCGGTGCTGTGCCCCCTGCTCTGGGTGACCCTGCTTGGGCAGGGGGTTGGGCTGGGGGACCCACAGAGGGCCCTGCCAACCCCTGCCATTCTGTGATTCTGTTGTCTTGGCGAGCTGCCCGTCCGTGTTGCTGTCCCTCTTGTGCCCAAATAAACCCATGGAACGTACGTACTGAGCTGTCCTGACTTGGGTCTCTCTGATCTCTGCAGCTCCTGATCACCAGCACGTTCCCAACGGAGTGTGGGTGATTGTGGGTCTCCTCAACTTCATTGCCTATACGTTAGGTAAGACTTCACCTGGTTGATGGCGGGGTTTGTGTCTCTGACCTGTTCATGCTGCGGCTGCGTGTCGTCTTATCTCTGAGCCCGTTGAGCAATCTTTGATTCCAGGTTCTACCATTTGCTGCTGGGTCTGCTGGAGCAGTTCTGCGAGCTGCTTTGCAAAGTGGACAGAAGGAAGGTGTCCCAGAGCAGCTGATGTGAAAGGAGAGTGCTGGAACTGACTTTGAGACGAATTGTGACCTTCTGTTTTTGGTCTGCTTTAAATAAATATAATCTCCTCGGACTTTAGTGTGCTTTTCAGCCTCAAGTGGAGCAGGGACTGGGAAGTGCCCTCTCCATTAGAGGATGGAGGTGGCAAACGCCGCTGTTCCCTGGCTGCACGCTTTGTCAGCTGCAAACCGGCCCATTGCTTTGCATGGAGGTGCCCAGCAAAACTCCTCGTTTCTCCTTCTTCTCTTCCCAGATGGTGTTGACGGGAAACAGGCTCGGCGGACCAACTCCAGCACGCCCCTGGGAGAGCTCTTTGATCACGGCCTGGACAGCTGGGCCTGCGTGTACTTTGTCGTGACAGTCTACTCCACCTTTGGGCGAGGCTCCACGGGCGTCAGTGTCTTCGTTCTCTACCTCCTCTTATGGGTGGTCTTGTTCTCGTTCATCCTCTCCCACTGGGAGAAGTACAACACGGGGATCCTCTTCCTGCCCTGGGGATATGACATCAGCCAGGTGGTGAGTACGCGCCGCGCTTGGCTTCAGCAGAAGCTCCATAAACTACGTGTCCAGAGCCTTGTAAATCCGTCGCTGCGATGCTCTGTGGAGGTGGGTCTCTCCAGACGTGGTGGAGGAGGAGAGCTCGCCAGGACCGCCTGCGTGACTTCGAGCTTTAATTGCTTTAATGAGCCGGGGTCACGTGGCACTGGAGTTCGACTGCTCAGAACCGTTCAATCCAAGGAGGTTTGTGCGGTGTGGTTTTTATTTTGTGCTGAGTAGCTTTTCTAGATGGACTCTCCACAAAAAAACGAGGCTTGGGGAATGGATGTGGCCCTGTGTTTCCTCTGCCCGCTTTCTGCTGCCCTAAATTGCTCAATCACCTAAATCATTGCTCTAATTAGTTTCCAGGGTACGTTCAGGTGTAGAAGTTCTAGCAGGGTGCGTGCCAAAACGTTGCAGAGTAACTAACTGGGGTGTGAATAAATGCTTACAAATATCTGAAGGGTGGATGTCAGGAGGATGGGGCCAAGCTCTTTTCAGTGGTGCCCAGTGACAGGACAAGGGGCAATGGGCACAAACTGAGGCACAGGAAGTTTCGTCTGAACCCGAGGAAGAACTTCTTCCCTCTGAGGGTGATGGAGCCCTGGAACAGGCTGCCCAGGGAGGTTGTGGAGTCTCCTTCTCTGGAGATATTCCAGACCCGCCTGGACAAGGTCCTGTGCAGCCTGCTGTAGGTGACCCTGCTTGGGCAGGGGGGTTGGCTGGGTGACCCACAGAGGTCCCTTCCAACCCCTACTATTCTGTGATTCTGTGAATCGCTGTGCCTAGAGCAGAGGTTCCTGGGGAGGTGCCCCCCTGGTGAGGCTGATGATGGTGGACCCTTTGGTGCGTTGCCATGTCCATCTCTCATAAGGACTTCTCTGCAGGAAGCTCGCTCTGAAGAGCCCGTCAGAACTGGGAGTGAGCTGTGGGTGGTAGGACTTGGCTTTGCTGCTGTTTGCTCTCCTTCCTGGCCGGGCTGCAGCCCTGGGGCACTGCAGCACGCGGTGCTCCTCCGTCTTACGGCTTACCAGGCGCTGGGTGCAAAACGCGGTGCGGTGGAAGGAGAGCTCGACTGGTGCAGCTGCATTAATTGCAATAATCATCTCTGCTGGTAAAAGGAGACCGCACTGGGCCCCTCTGGCTGTACGCTGACCCCTTTCTCCTCAAGCATTGCTTGACCCTACTGATCTCTACCTGTTGCAGAAAGGCAGGAGGTGGAGGGCTAAGCTACCGTGCTTCCCCCAGCTTCAGGGTTATTAGTAAAACTGAAATAGCCCCTGTTAGCTTTTTCCCTCTAATTGCATCGCTGGATGGAGAAGAGAGTCCCCAGACAAACCCTCCAGGGTCGCCTCAACGTGTTGTACCAAACCTGTCGCTCGTGCTTCAAGCATCTCGCTGTGCCAGGGCATCTTTGCTCCTGCTGCGAGGAGCAGCTCCTGGTCGTGTTCTTCTCAGCAGCTCAGCTACTACACGGGTTAGACCTGGTCTCAGATCACGGGGTGTTTGTGGGGTTTTTTTTTTAATTTTTCCCCTTCCCACCAGTGGGGAGCACTGAAGATGGTGCAGTTCAAAGCGTGCTTCTCGGGCTGCATTTCCCGGCTCGGGTGCTGCCGGGTTTGCTCACGCCTGCTTGTCCTCTGCTTTCTTTCAGACCATTTCAATTGTCTACATAGTGACAGCCATTGTGGGAGTTGAGGCCTGGTATGCACCTTTCCTGTTTAATTTCTTATATAGAGACCTATTCACTACAATGATTATTGGTAAGAAACTCCATGTTGAAGCCTGTCTTTTAACCTCCACCTTTTTACTGAATTCCGTTGCCTTTATATGATAACGCTGTTCTCTTTGCTGTAATGAAAGCTCCTGTGGGCTGTTATGGAAGTGACTCATGGAGGGTGTTCTTGCAGCCTGCCCTTTCCCAGGGTGTAAAATGATTGTTGTCTTCTGCAGAGTTACTTTGGAGGAGGAGCCCCTTAGGCTCAGAGGGGACCTTCGAAATGCTTCTAAATATCTGCAGGGTGGGGGTCAGGAGGACGGGGCCAGACTCTTTCCAGTGGTGCCCAGCGACAGGACAAGGGAACAAGGGCACAAACTGAAGC